TACTGTTGAACCACGGGGGGGGGGGGGGACTTGGCTGTAAACTGTTCTCAAGATAGTATGCTACAATTACGAGTGAAAACATTATGACATCGTTAAATGATTTTAATAAAATAAGTGAAAGGTGGACTTACAGTTACTACAGAAATATCAATTTTGTACCTGCTCTCCACTTTTATGTATGATTGCAATATAAAAGTGAAATTCGATCTTACTATTCGGTATAGTCAAGGAGGCGACGGATGCTACTGACTGATTTCCCTCATTTGGTTCAACATTAGAAACGGTTATGATGAGTATTGGTGTCTCTGACTTGACCGCTTAGTCAATGTTACTGGTTTAACCTAAAAAGTGGGTAAATTGGAATTTTGAAAGAAGTAGAAATCACTTGTGTGATCCACTTTGTAGTAGCAGCATGGATCACAGCGTGGTCCAATCAGAAGACCAGGAACACTAATGTCTTTAATTAATACTTAAGAGGCGGATCAGCGTTCCGATCCAATTTTAGGTAAAAACTAATTTTATATCTAATATAAATATTAGATCCAATTTTATTTAGTTTGAATTAAATATAAATCTAGCTAAATTTACTTTTGTATTTTGGTCTTACATTTAAATTATCGTTTATATTTATACAAAATTCTCTACTATCAATATATTTATATAATTTAATGTTTCTCAACAAAGCTTACTTGTGATAATTATTACACCTACAGTAAAACATAAGGCACAACTTCCGGCTTTGTATTATTATTATTAGTTACCAATTTTAGATTGGTCAAATCCGAAACATTTACCCAAGTTAATGATCACACTATATATACATCGAGTCAGTAGCGGTCAAGTACACGGTCCAATGGCAAACGAAAGACGTTAAGAATATAAAATTGTAACTACCTTCGGCAGTTTTTACAACACTAGTTTATTTCCCGTGACCGTCAAAATGGAATTGAGGCTCAAAAAAGAGGGCCGTTGAGTGCGAATAAACCACTATTGAAGCAGTACAAATTAATTATTTCTCAGAACAAAATTAGCTGTCTTCTAGATACCATTAATAAACCAAAACAAAATCAACCTTCAATACTATACAGAACAAAAATTAGTCGACTGCTAACCAGCATTAAGCTAATAATTCTACCTTATAATATTAAACAAAGTTTTACGCTTCATTGAGTTGACCGAACCAACCCATCAAAGTTGTATTTCTGGAGTGTAATGATCGCTATTCAGTTACTCTGTAGGCCTCTAAGTAAACGTATATTAGTGTCATCATTATACAATACTCAAATTATATCCTTTTCAAATGTAGAAATTCTATACTTTATTTTACATATTTCAGACTATTCATAAGGCTGATGATTTTATATTTTCCATACATTTGAAGCAAGATTGGATTGTTCTTTTTTCACACTGAAAATATCGCAAATTTATTACACTTCTCTCTAACTGAATTAAGGCTCATTTGCTTTGTCGCATTCCAGGTTCTCAAAGAAAAGTGAATTTATGGCCGGGTGTGCCCTACTAGTTAGTGTTCTGGGTTGTAAATCACAAGGGCCCAATTAGCCACTTAGCTGCAAGTGCATTATTATTCGTTGATGTTATATTCTGTGTTAGATTCATCCAGGAAAATAAATTACAACATTAAACCTTAAAACTGTCTTTCAGAACAATTTTATAAATCAACCAAGGATTTGTAAGCTAAAGTTCAACGTCATGTTCTAAAATCTGTGTTCCTTTTCCCTGTTCTTCAGGTCCATCGAAAATGTTGACCAAAATAGCGCTGCCTTTCCATATGTCGTTGCGTCAAGACTGGGAAAATTGGACAGTGGCGAATGTGTCAAGTATTTTCCAGAGTGTACTTACAATCTCCAGACCATTCTTAAACTCCTTCCTTAGATGTTTGAAATTCTTAGTAATGTGTGTCTAGTCTTTAGAGCCATGACGATGTATGTCATTTCCTTGTCATAACATACAGAATATAATTTAGTTCTCCAATAAACTTTTATGAATAGTAACTACACGTTGTGTTGGTTCTTTTTTCCCACTGTCTCCAGTACAAAATCATACTATATGTACATTTCGTTCTTAGTACATAGCTTATTCCAATAAGTTAACACTATTTTCATGCAGTTTTATGTATGAATAAGAATGCAGTATCAGTGAAACTCTTTGAAGTATTTATTTGATTAGAACCTGTTCCAACAGCTTTATATACTGTTCTGGGCTAATGACAATTTAGATTATTGCTATGTTATCTTAGCTCTATGGTGTTTATTTTGTTTATTGTATTTTATGTTAAAATTAATTTATAAACTTTTTTCTTTGCCATGTCGTAGAATTAACACCTTATTGACATATTTCAAGTTACTAATTCGTGCTGTTTTGGGTTTTACAACGCCAGTTTGTAATTTTTTTATTATAAACTGTCATTGTGACGTAATTTTTTTTCAAAAAAAGTTAAGGGAGGTAGAAAATAGTTAAATGTTATTTTATTTCAAACATAAGTAGTGTAGCTTGACAGTTACAAAGTCAATCTTATAAAGAGAAAAGAACGTGAACTTACTTCAGATAGCGAGCGATTGTTTGACCGTAATAACCAAAACTTCGTGGTTTAGCTGTAGCTTCACAGGCCAGTCGAGATACGCATGAACTTGAATCTAACTGAGAAAGGTATCGAAAATATGCTTCGGCTCTAGAATCTAAGGCAACTGGTTCTGTGCTCCTTCTCCGTCGAGAGTTATATAACTGGTCCTCTTGTCCATATTGGACAGGGGCTGGTGGCAAGGGAGGGTATCCTCCGACTGCGATATTTGGATAGCCTAAATTCTTTCCACCTTCATAATCTGAGTCCGCGTAGAATCCAACTGAGTGACTGCCTCTGGAGTAGCTGCTGTAATAACCCAGAAACCAAAGCAGCTTGGTTGCTATGGCCAACTTAAGTCCAACAATTCCAGCTACAGAAAGTATTTGAGCAACAGGAATTGCTGCCAGGACACCAGGGATTCCTGCTAAGGCACTCGAGATAAAGGCTAAAGTAGCGTCTGCTGGGAACATCATCGCCAAAAAGATGGCGGAAATAAAAAGGTGAAGAAGCTTCATCTGCAAATCATACAAGCGGTGAAGAATTTAAAGTAAGGAAACAAAACAGTAAAAACAATTGTAATTGTAGTTATAATTATAATCTTAGTCCATGAGTTTATCTCAATTTCAATACATTGTAGTTTAGAGTTAACTGAATATAAATAAACCTATCATATAAAAGTGAACGAAGTCGAAATAAATTTTGAAGTGAAGATAAATAACAATTTCTTACCTTTAACAAAACTGCTTTTCCCAAGAAGAGTCTGTCAGATAGAATGTAAATTGTTGTATAAGCATGAGCTTTTATACTATCTCACAAGTGGAAAGTATCCAATGAAAATGAACTATCTTTAACCACAGGCTTTCAGCTACCGGCTAGTGAAAGCTAACCTGGGGGTCAAGGTCATGGTCATTCTAAGAGAAATAAGTTTTTCTTAGAACCATGGTGTGATACAAAGGGAAGAACACTGAAACAGCAGTGTCCACAATTCTTGAGTGCTTAGGTTATATTCGAAGTTGCTGAAGAAAACAGTAACATGATAATATTTTACAGG